TCTGTGTCTGTGTTAATTGGTTTCCCTTTTCTTTGTTGAAGAGGGTCTGTGCAATCCTTCTGCCTAGTCCGCCATCTTGCCCCGCCTCGAAATGTTCTTTTTAATGACGAATGTGATACCATTCCTCTTCAATTTGTCATTCTGGACATAGTAGATCATATGGCTGTCCATTTCAGAATGGCCAGTACCATCCATTTCAGTTCACTAATGCCAAGAATGTGTGTCTTTATGCATTCCATTTCATTTTGTCACATTTTCCTAGATTCGTATTTTGTACATTTCATTTTCCAATTATTAATGGATGTCTGCAGCTATTTCTTCTCGTTTTGAGTTTTGCCGCATCAGTAAATGATGGTCTGGAAAGATTTACTGCCTCCACATTAAAGTCAGCTGTATTTTGAGGAGGCAGCTCTTCCCTAGTAGAAGTTTGAGAGCCTTCCTACCCGAGGGACTCATCTGGTGCTGTATCAGACAGTGTTCCACTGCTATTCATAGCATTTTCACTAGCCTTTTCTTTTAGAAATAGATCACCAGGTCCTTTTTCCTAGACTTTTTCAGCCCAGAAGTTCTCCTGAAACCTGTCCATCATAGGTGTTTGAAATAGTGGTGGCATAGCGTCCAGCATAACAGCCATATGCAATCTACTGCAATATGATAAATTGACAGATGAATGGTGATAAAAATCAATTGGCTAAGACCAAAGAAAAAGGGAAAATATATCCGTAATGATAAAGACTAAAAGCCTAGATAATATCATCATGAGGAAGGTTGGAAGAATAGAGACTCTGGTACCTAACAATGTACTACTAAACCTGTATTATTTGCAGGGAGGAGATATCATATCAACTGTTATGGCTTGAATGGTGTCCCCACCACACCCAAAATCTTTATTGAAGTCCTAGCCACTATACCCAGAAATGAATGAGATTGTTTGGTGAAAGTTTTCTTTGTTATGTTAATTAGGTCATTACTTGAGTACAGTGGGTCCTGAACCTAGTCACTTCTCAGTTATAGAAAGAGCTGAACAGACACAGAGACACACAAGGGGAGAGGAAGACATGATGTAGACAGCTGCATATATAAGCCCAGGAGCACCAGGGATTCCTGACAGCTACTAGAAGCTGAATTTTGACTTCTAGTGTTCTGAAAAAGATAAATTTTTGTTCTTTTAAGCCACTCACTTGGGATGTTTCTGTCACGGCAGCACTAGGTAACTAAGACATCAATTTAAATGAATGCAAAGAAACAGGAAGTGGAAAAATGGACGTAGTAACTTGCCCAGGGCTACACAGTTGTTATGTGGTAGTACCCAGTATTAAACCCAGGTGCTGTGATACCATTCATGTGTGTGAGTGGAGTACTACCATAAGGTGATACTGTATATGTTGTAAAATCATGACATGCTGGTCAGTTGTTCTGTTCTTCTCTGTTCCAGGCTGTGCATGGGAAGAGGGAGGGGTCAACCCCGTGTTCACACCCAGAAGTGTGAGCCACCTGGTCACATGGCAGGATGGCCGGTGTAGCAGTGGGTTCCTGGCTTCTCTGCCCCAGCCTGAGTCTCATCTTAGCGTGGCCACTGGGTTCGGCTGTTCAACTATCTTCTGGCTTTTAAAAAATAGGTACAGATGCCTGTTCTTTGACTTGGATGCTGGATTTCCTGGGGAAGGTGAGTGGGCAGGAGGCTATAGCTCCACCTTCTGGACCGAGCCTCAGGGAGTGAGGTCTGACATAGGCCATGTTCACAAGACCTGTACTTGGTCTAGAATTGTTTCATTTCCCAAAAGGTATTCTACTGGTCATCTGATTCTAACTCAGAGAGAGAAAGAAGGGGCCAGAGAGAGCAAGTGATTTGCCAGAGGTCCTGTGGTGAGTTCATGATGGTGTTAGGGCTCAGGGCCGCTGAGAGTGGCTGATGTCCTGCTTTCCCAGGAATAGCACACCCTCCGTAAGTCCCTTCCCCTAGTGCTGCTCCTGCCAGGTCCAGCTCTGAGTGGCTGGGTGATCCTCAGTCTGGGAGGTCCAGCTGTATTTGAACCACTGGCCACAGCAGGTGGAATGCTGGCTGCTACCCAGCTGATGCCACATCAACCCTTCTGCCCATAGCGAGGTGCAACACGTGCTTCTGAGACAATGTTAGACTGCACTGATTTGTATTTGGTGTGTAAAACAGCCCAGAATTCCTAAAATCCTATGATGCAGCCGGCACCATCCAAGACTATGTGGTTGCCATGTTGTGTGGCTTGTCAAGACCCCTGATGTCAGACCAGAATGCCGCTAGCTGGGGATACTTCAACACTCGGAGCCAAAGCTGGAATTTGGAGATGTGAGTATAACCTCAGCAGGTGGGATCCAGGAAGAAGTGTGTCTCTAGAGCACGAGGTCCAGTGGGAGTTTCCTGTTTGGAAAAGGCCGGAAAAAAAACCTCAAATCGTTGCTGTTGAGTTGATTCGGACTCATAGTGACCCCATGTGCTACAGGGTACAGCTGCTCCATAGGCTTTCTTAGCTGTGATCTTTTTAAGAATTTATTTATTTATTTGTCTATTTACATCTCTGCCTGCCAGAGTCAGTAAGATCCTCTGGGACAAGGTGCATCTTTTTTTAATTATTATTATTTACGTAGTAAATAAACTTTATCTGTTCCTTCAAGATGGCATTGTCAGCGGTCACAGATCTGCATACAATACAATCATATGTATTGACTATTTACAATTTACAGTAGCATTTTTTTCCTCTGAAAAGTGTGGGTACAAAAGCTGAGTAAACAGTGAGGTACTGCCATTGAATTTATCATGTCATAGCTTAACATTTTTAAATTATTTTTTTCCTTCACCCAAGTTAGAATATGTCTACCCTCTAGTTAGTAGTTTACCCTCTCTTCCCCACCCACTCCTGGTGACCATCAAAGAATATTTCTTTTTGTGTGAAACCTTTTCTTGACTTTTTACAGTAGTGGTCTCATACAATATTTATCCTTTTGTGGTTGACGAACTTCACTCAGCATAATGGCCTCTAAATTCATCCATGTTATGAGACATTTTGCAGATTCATCATTGTTCTTTAACATTGTGTAGTATTCCATTGTGTGTCTGTACCACACAATGTGGTTTGTGGATCCATTCCTGTCAAAGGGCATTTAGGTTGTTCTTATCCTTTTGCTATTGTGATTAGTGCTGCAGTGAACTTGGGTGTGCATATATCTGTTTGCGTCACGGCGCTTATTCCTCTAGGATGTATACCTAGTAGTGGGATTGCTGGATCATATGGTATTTCTATTTCCAGCCTTTTAAGGAAGCTTGGCACTAGTCTTTATGGAAGCAGATGGCCAGGCCTTTCTTCTGTAGTGCTGCTGGGTGGGTTTAAATGATCAGCCTTTGGATTGGGAGTCCAGCACCACCCAGCGACTCAGGATCGCTGGAAGCCAGGAGTCAGGTCCAGCCCCCAGCTTCTTTCAGTCACTCACATGGGCTGGCTGTAAGCGAAACTGTGGGGTGGGGGCTCTGCCTACTACACTAGCTGTCCTGTTCCTCCTCCACCATAACCCAGATGTGGGGTGGCTCCCCAGTTTCCTGTGACCCCAGCCTCCACCTGTAGATTCCAAAGAACAACTTTCACGTATTAACATATTTTAAAATAAGATTAAGAAACAGAAGTAGTAGATTCAAAGATCGCCTATTGAGTTCTTTTTCAACAATCTTCATTTCAGGTACAGAAGTCCAAACCCACTGCCATCAAGTCAGTTCTGATTTATAGCAACCCTATAGATCAGAGTAGAACTGCCCCGTAGTTTCCAAGGATGTGAGTCTTTGTGGAAGCAGACTGCCTCATCTTTCTCTTGCAGAGTGGCTGGTGGGTTCGAACCACCAACCTTTTGGTTAACAGCTGAATGCTTTAATCACTACACAACCAGAGCTCCCATAAGTTTACTTCCTTCACAGCTCAAATTCTGAGCTCTGAAAAAAAAAAAAAAAAAAAAGGATCTGGTAGTTCAGGTAACTTTATAGCATGTTTTGTAAAATTGACAGCCCTGTAGTCACTAACCCTGAGTGTTGAATGTGTTTGATGTTAAAGAGGTGGATGGCTCTGAATTTGATTAGGACTTTGCTAACCAACTCTAGCTTTGCACTCAAACTCCAATGGCCACCCTGTGTAGAGTCTGTGTTCCCTTCAAACACAGGAGCCTGGAATTCCCGTGGTATCTGGCTCTTACCTAATCCATCCTGATATCTGCTACTTACACTTGTTGTTTTGGCCCCAGAAGGTGAACCCTAAGCTTTTGAAAGCCAGCGTTCATGACTTTTAAAAGCCCAAGCCTATGAATCATGGTTTTAAAACCCCCCAAGTGGCTGTCTGTGAAAGCACTGGGCTCTGAACTCCTTCCTTGTGTGGGTGTCCTATAGCTCTTTCCATTGCTAACTTTCCTGGAAACAACAGAAACCCAGACACCAGGTGAATACAGGTATCTGCTTGTGTGTTACAGACTGATGGCCTCGGGCTTTCCTGTCCACCTGCTCCCGGACATTGCGGAGCCTGGCAGTGTGGCAGGCAGAACTTCCCACACGTGGTTTGAAATCCCAAAGGGGACAGAGGTGGGCGTGGCCTTGGGTGATTTACAGGCCTCTGTCTTTTCCTGCATGGCCCAGAGAACAAATGCAGGTGAGTATTCCTAGGCACCGACTCGGTGCTTGGGTCTGGGGGGCAGCCTCATCACGTGATGGCGATGAGTATTCTGTATGGTGGAACACACCCTCATCCCTACAGGTGAAACCCTCTGCTCAGGGAGTTTGTGGTCCAGCAGGGCAGGCTTTTCACCCAAGTCAGTACTTGTCTCTACCTATCCAGCAGAGTTCCTTCCCTACCCCTCCCACTCCTGGTAACCAACAAAAAAAAATTTCCTTCCATATATAAACCTTTCCTTGACTTTTTACAATAATGGCCTAATACAATATTTGTGTGGACCGATTTTTAAAGCCACCACACTCTCCCACTACCCTGCTGTGACTTGTGATATTAGCTAACCAGGCCTGACCTCTGCTTTCTTTGGCCCCCTAGTTCTCAACATCAGCACCTCAGTTCAGCTGGCCGCCTCCATGCCCTCAGGATTCCAGCCGGTGCAGACTCCAGACCCGTTAGCTCCAGTTGCCTACTTTCCATACTTTGACAGGACCTACCTGGGGGTAGCAGCGTCCCTCAATGGGGGCAATGTGTTGGCCACGTTTGTCCACATGCTGGTTGAGTGGATGGCAGATCTGGGTAAGGTGGAGTCCTCACGATGAGTTGTTCTCTGCTTGCCGTTTCTCTGTGGGAGTATCTTACTGTGCTTAATGTACTACTGGACCTTACACATTCTAATCTCTGCTCAGCCACGTTCCAATGTATTCCTTCCCTAAGGATCTAATCTTGCAGCCTCTTTTTCCTCTCATCTGAGCTGCCATCCCCAGCTCTCTTTTTCGTGGGTACCTTTTCCCCTAACCTCGACTGTAGACTGTCATAACAATTTCCTCAACTTTCCCTATCCACTGCCTTACTTTCTCTGTCTGTAAGGCTCTGTATCCCTTGCACGTAAGGGTTTTCCTTCTGATGACTACAATGAAATGACCAAATATGAATGAGTGGAGAGACTCCTGATGTTTTACAGTTTTATAAAATGCTTATAGGATTCTTTTGCCTGGTGAGTACTTCCTGACTCATTTTCTTGGAAGGGTCTTTGAAAGCTCTGATGCCCTCTTATTCTCTTCTTTTATTTCCAGGATGGATTTAATCAAGTCCTCCTTTGCTCTTCCTTTACAGTGAATCATGGAGCCTCCTTCTGGGAGAAGTTTCCCTTCTAAGCACTAAAGGTAGAAATTAAACTTCTGGTCAGCTGTCTAGGTCTAGGGAAATCATGTCCATCAAATGCATTGGTTACTACAAAAACCAGTTGCTGTTGAGTCAAATCTAACTCATGGTGACCCCTTGTGTTGCAGAGTAGAACTACTCTATAGGGTTTTCTTGGCTGTAATCTTACTGGAAGCAGATCACCTTTCTTCCAAGGTACTGAGTTTGAACCATCCACCTTTAGGTAGTAGTTGAGCACTTAACCAATTTGCTCTACCCAGAGACTCCTGTAGGAGCTCAAAATTAGGTAATTCCAGGAAATGTTCAACACAATAACAAAGACATAAACAGCAGACAGCTTGTGGGAAGGAGGAGAGTTAGGCTCTACTCTTGGAGGGAAGCATATCAAAGAATTTGTGGACCTATTATTTTTATTTTTATTGTTATTTGGGTGAAAGTTTACAGAGCAAATTCACTTTCCATACATCAGCTCACATACACTTTGTCTCATGACATAGACTGCAATTTCCCACAATGCAACAGCTCCCCTCCCACTTCCTTGCCATAGTAACCTCTGTGTCCTTCCCTCCATGCACTCCTGCCCCCTGAGCTGTCTCCCTGTGCATAAACAGCCCTTCTATTCTCCCATGATTGATCTCTCCAAGGAGTGTATCTAGCTAATGTAAATATTCAGTTCATATATCTTTTGTTTGGCTGGAAGCCACAGGAGTGGGTTCAATTTGAGACCTGAAAGGCAACTAGGGGCCATAGTCTCAGTGGATCCATTGGGTTCTATCAGACCAGCAAACCTGGTTCCTTTTTTTTTTTTTTTTTTTTTTTTAAATGATTTTGCATTTTATTCCACATTGTTTTCCCATTTTATGCAAGATCTCCTACATAGATCCCCCTCTGAGTGGTTGACAGTGGTGGCCGGGCACCATCTAGTTCTTCTGTCTCATAGTTGTATAGGCTGAGGATCTCATGGTGTACCAGTCACTTGGACTAATTGTTTCCATGTGTCTTTGGTTTTCTTCATTCTTCTTTGCTCTGGATGAGGAGAGACCCATCATTGCATCTAGATGGCTGCTTGCAAGCTTTTAAGATCCTAATCGTTACTCGCCAAAGTAGGATGTGGAACAATGTTTTGTGTAGTATGTTATGCCAATTGAACTTGATGTCCCCTGTGACTATGGTCCTGAGCCCACAGGTCCAACTACTTATTCCCTCTGTGTAGCTGGCTGTGACCAAGAAATGACTACGACTTGACCCTAGTCAGCTCTATTATAAACTAAAACCAGACCAAACTCAATGCCGTCAAGTCGGATCCGACTCATAGTGACTTCTCCTTGGGTTTCTGAGGCGATAACACTATGGAAGTAGAGTCTCCAGTCTTCCTTCTGAGGAGTGGCTGGTGGGTTTGAACTGCCAGCTTTCTGGTACCTGGGAATTCTTACAGAACATACAAATACACTTGTAGAAACATTGTCTTCTAACCCTATACATGGTCATGGGCACACTCCCTCCTACATAAGAAAACTGAATGAATGCAAATACAATGAAATTTACTCAGATCAAAGACATTATGTTTATTAACCAGAAATAGAAATACTTAAATATAAAATCCCAGAATAAAACCCTCACTCTCTTCAGAGTGCCCTAGATTTGTGCTGTTTTCCAGAGATCAGCAAACAGGGAGTTCCATCCTCATCTGACAGTCACTTTAAACTATTACAGCTGCTGTAAAAGCTTTTTTTTTTTTTAAGAAAAAAAAACCAACTCTAGTCTTTGTGAATTACCTCATATAGCAAGGCTTGTGAGGATGGTGTAGGACCAGGCAATGTTTCATTCTGTTCACATAGGGTCACTGTGAGTTGGGGCTGACTCGACAGCACCTAACAAAAACAGCAAGTCTCTCTGTGCTCTGGTTAGGGGACCAGATTTTAACTGGAGCAGCGTGTGGCAGCCAAAGTGTTGTCTCTGTGCGCATTTCCATCCTGATTAGTTTTAGGAGGAATTGGCTGGTGCCGCCCATATACATTGGACTGAGGGCCAATAAGCCTATGGCTCTGTGTCCCTGGAGCCACATATGTGGGCCCTGTGCACGTCCCCTCTCGGGGCAGATGGGTAGTGGTGAGGCCAGCGGTGTGCAGAGCATCTGAAGCAAATGCCAGGGCTGACCTTTGCATCCCCTGGAAATGTAAGCTGAGAATGAGTTTCTGGCATGAAGGCCTCAAAAGAGCTGCATCTGCTCATTATGTGAGGGTCAGTGTGCAGGGGTGGACAGGCAATCGGCACCTTCCCTCCTGAGGGTTGAGTACGAGCCCTTGTGTCCTCTCTGCTTTCTGAAGTAACAAGACCCTCCGGAGCTCACATCTTCATGGCGGGTGAGCTGACCGCTTCCCAGCGCATCTTCCTCTGCCGACTTCCTGGCTGTGGCTTCCTCTTCTCTGCTGGGAAAGGTCTGTTTTCACCTTCCAAGTAGTATCAAAATCTTCTATTCATGTTTCCTTTCCTATGCCCTTTTGTCCTGATAAATTTTTGTCATCTTTTAAAACATTTCTTTCTTCTTCTGTTTTTTTAATTTGCTGATATTTCAGTGGAATTTCTAGAAGAAGAGGAGAGATCCTTTTATTCATTCTGCCATGTTAAACCAGGAGTCCTGCTGATCAAATTTTGACTGGTTGCCTATAATATTTGAATTGTCCTTCTCCCTGTCTCTCTTACTTTCTAATTCCTAAGTATGTGTAGTTGAATTTGTGTAAGTTAACTGTGCTGATGACATCACTCCACTGTGATTCTCTAGATTAATGGGTCTCGACACTGGCTGTACATTTGAGATGACCATGGAGTTTTAGAGCAGTATTGATGGCTTAGTTCTACCCCCAGAAATGTGACTTTTTTGGCATTTTCATAGAAGTTCCTCAGGTGATTCTAATGCCTGTATTACCAACCATAACCCGGAAACTTGCTACTCAGAAAGTGTGGTCCAAAGACCAGCAGTATAAGCATCTTCTGGTAGCTTGTTCCAAGTGCAGAATTGCAGGCCCTGCCCCAGTCATACTGAGTGAGAACTTGCATTTTGATAAGCTCTGTGGCAGTTCTAACACTCATTCAAGTTTGAGAAGCAAGGATCTAGACTGGTGTTTCTCAATCTTGGCTGCACATTAGAATCATCTGGGGAGTGTTTAAAAATTCCACTGCTCAGGCAGAAAAACCAGTTTCCATGGAGTCAATTCATATTCATGGCAACCCTGTGTATGTCAGAGTAACTATGCTCCATGCATATGGTCTTCAGTGGCTGTGACCTTTCAGAAATAGACAGCCAGGCCCTTCTTCTGAGGTGTCTCTGGGTGGATTCAAACCACCAACCTTTGGGCTAGTAGCTGAGCACTTAACTGCTGCAGCCCAGACCAATTAATTGAGGCTCTCTGGGGTGTGGTGGGGGTGCGGGAGTCCAGGGAGATGTGTTTGTTAAAGCTCCTGCAGGGATTCCATGTGCAGTACTAGTGAACACTCCCCAGTCTTGATAACTTTCTTCCTGTCGAAGGCCAGGCTTGCCTTTTTTCTATTCATGGAAAGTCAGAGATCCAAAGTGATTCTAAGGTCAAAGCATAATAAAACCCAAAGCCTGTTCTTTTTATAATGTAGAGCTGACATACTGTGGGGAGGAAAATCTGACCAGGACTCTGGCTTGATACCAACAAGCTGTAGGATGGTCAACACATCACTTCTCTCTTGGCCTTTGATGCCCCATGCAAATGACAAAGGGTGGGCTAGACTGGCTCTAAAGGCTGTCTCGGCCCTGTGATCCTGGGATTTCTGTAGCAGCAGTGATGATACTTCTTGGATCATGTATGCATTTGATCCCCTTTGGGGCCAAGGCTTTCATGGGTATGGGATAGTTAGGAAACCTGGGTTAGGATAGAGCTCACAGCAATACCTATAAGATATCTTGATGAAGTCTGGGCTGAGGTCTGTGTCAGATAGTTGTCTTGGAGCTAGCCAGCCCATGTGGATCCCTGAGCCTAGAAGCAGCCAGGAGAAGCAGCAAGTGGATTTACTACCTCTGCCACCTGAGACCTCTCTATAGTCTGCAGCGAGGGTGTGTGTGAGCTCACTCACGCTGGTCTTCTCTGCCCTTGCAGGCCTGGAAATTGGAGAATCTGCTGTATATTCCCACATGATCCAGGCAGCTGCACAGCAGGAAGACACCTGTCTAACCATTACCCCAACAGTGCTGGGAGAGAGGCACCTGCCGGACCAGCTGGCCTCAGTGACCAGAATCTCCTCCTCTGACCTCTCCCTGGGGCACGTGACTCGGGCCCTGTGTCGAGGCATCATCCAGAACCTGCAGTCAATGCTTCCATCCCAGCAGCTGAAAGAGTGGGGTGTGGAGCGGGTGATTGGGAGTGGGAGTGCGCTGTCCAGGAATGAGGTGCTGAAGCAGGAAGTGCAGAGGGCTTTCCCTTTCCCAGTGTCCTTTGGGCAGGATGTGGATGCCGCAGTTGGGGCAGCTCTGGTCATGCTACGGAGGAAAATCAACCAGGAGGAGGCTTAATCATCGAACTCTGTCCAAAGGACTGCTTTGAATTTTATCCAGTTAACATTCCTGATGTGATCTTGGAGCAATCCTTCTCCTGGATAGCTCTTCAGGCAGCTTTGAAGCCATGCTTGCTGGTGGGGACCATCTTGACTGGAGGTTATCTCCAGGGTACACTCTCATAATGCAGTCAGGAGTCAACAAATCTGTGCCTTCCAAAAAAGACCCACTTGAAAGCTAGTTGCACAAGCAAATGTAGAAAAAGAAAGAAAGAGCAAGAAAACTAGCTGAGATTCCTGGCCGTCAGGCTCCTCTGTGATTCAGTTGTAGGTAAAGAAAAATAGATAAGGACTTTAGACATCCAAAAGCCTGGTTGCTCTGAGCTCCAAGTGAGAAAAGAAGACTTGCCACATGTCCAGCTTTTGGATCGATTGTTTTTAGGAACATGAAGCCCAGACTTGGGTCACGTTCACTGTTGGAAAAGTCCTCCCTTACTGAGTTGTACCAGATATCTCAATTAGGAGGCCTGCCCTGCCCACATTCCTCTTGTAAAGAAAACTTCCTCACCCGAGGGCCATTGGTGAAGGTATTGTACTCTGGTGACCTTGTTTTCATGCCATGTGACCCTGAAGCCCTTTCTCAATCTCATCCTTCTCTGGTCACAGCTGATTAGCTGGGGCAGGGGGTGCCCCAAGTATAGTAAAGCTGGCTGGCTCAGATGAAGATGCAGTGGTCAGTACTGGCCTTTCCATGTGCACTTACTCCCCCTTGCCGCACGGGGTGCACTTGGGGTTTCCTAGATTCTCACAATGCAACTTGTCTTGAAGACATGTAACAGGGATGGAAAAGTGATGGCAACAAGCAAGGGGACAGATGTCGTGTGGCCACCACCATTCAGATACGTTTTTTCTCCAGCAGGACCCTTTGCCAGAACATATCCATGCAGCAGTATATTTTTGCCCCTGCACAGCTCCAGAAAGCCTTGCATGGGAAGGGATGCAGCCAGGCCAGTTCCCACCAGAGGAACTTGCCCACTTTAATCAGAGATAACCCCTTTTCCTGGAGGCCCCTTTTCCTGGTGTGGGCCTTGCTGGCCCATCATATGTTCCTGGCTCAGCAGAAACATCTAGTTCAAGTCAGCATCCCTGTAGGGATCCCAGAGCACTCTAGACTTCCCCATGGTTGGTAGGGACTATGGACTAGTTTCCAGGAGAGGCCCGCTAACATGACATTGACCTCCAGGCTTCCGAAGGGTGATCCCAGTTGCAGGGAGGCCCGACTCTGAGGCGCTTGGAAAGCCATGAAATTGGGAAGCAGTTATGCTGTTTCTTTGTAAATGTTGTTTTACAAATCAGGTAATTGAAGCTATTTGATTCATTTGCCTGGCCATGCTGATTGGATTTCAGTTCCAGAGCCTTTCCCTTTAATAAAACACACACCTGTCTGTTTTGGGAGGACTTTAAGTTCATAGTACAGCCATGAAGTTCAATTCTGGAGGTTGGATATGGCTTGAAGCAATCAGTTGTAGGTTGTCTGATAGTAGAGTCCTGACCCAGTGTTCTATCCAGATAAGCAACTGCAAGTCACTCGGCAGGTCAGGCAATTTTTCTCTCAGCCAGAGTTAAAGACATCCTCATCTTGGAGCCCTGAGAAAAGCCTTATGAGAGAAAAGATACCTTGGCATGTTGTTGTTGTTGTTGTTTGCCATCGAGTCGGCCCCGACTCATACCTTGGCATAGGCAAAGGATATCAAGTAGCCCTGGCAGAGGTAAGGAGAAGTTGGGCCTCTCTGACCTCAGAGACAGCCTGTCCTACATTCTCAGGGTGTGTGGATGTTGCTTGTAAATATAAGATTAGGAACTGGATGGCTGCAAGCCATCGTGTGTGGTGCTCAAACTCCTTGTCCCCTTTCCATACCACGTGTCCACTCCACCTCTGAGAGCTGAGCCTTGGAAGGTCCAAGTTTGTAAAATATTAGCCCTGTTGCTACTTCCATGGCACATGGTCTAGGGTATCCAGAGCCTCTGCTCGGGGTTGATTACAGCTTCCAGGGACTCATTTCTCCAGCCTGAAATCACCAATCCCTCACCGCTTCTGTCATTCCCTGGAGGTACCAAAATGTTCAAACTGCATGTTCTGCAAATGAGGGACTGGGTTACTGTCTGGTCATTAGGACTTCTCCCCAATATTCTGATCTTATGAGTACATGGTAAGGCTGTGCTTTCCCACATGGTATGCTTTGGCTGCTGAAACGTGAGCAGAAGTATGTTACTTCTGGGCAGAAGCCTTTTAGAGCCAGTGTGCAGTTTGCCACACTCCCTGTCCTTTGTCACAAGTGACCAGCAGTGTTCTAGAGAATGGAGGCTCTGTCAGCCTGAGTCCCTGAGTGAAGATACTGTGATGTAGGGCCCTCACCAACCAGTGAGGGACATGCACTGTGATAGAGAAGTCAATCTTTGATGTTTAAAGCTGCTGAGATATGGGGCTGTTTGTTATCACAGCATACCTTAGCTCATCCTAACCAGTGCAGGCAATAATACCATGTCTAAAAGGTCTCAGCTGTACCCAGCACAGGCCCAGTAGCACAGTGCCTAAGGCACTTGACTGCTAACCAGAAGGCTGGCAGTTCAAACCCACCAGCCACTCCTCAGAAGGAAGGTTGGGCAATCTTCTTCCGTAGTGATACCACCTTGGAAACCCAAGGAGGGGTTGCTATGGGTTGGGTCCAACTTCAGGGCACATAACCACAACAACAACAAACTAGGAGCTGGGTGTTCTATCAACTATTTTCATGTGCTGTTGAAATGCCATAACCACACACACACATACACACTCATTGCTGTTGAGTTGGATCTGACTCATAGCGACCCCTCTTGGGTTTCTGAGATGGAAATAAATAAACACAACAAACACTATGAAAGAGTTACTCACAGGCCCACAGGAAGGAGCAGCTCATTTTTTTTTTTTTTTTTTAAAGCATCTCTGGTGGCTTAGTGACTAAGGCATTTGACTGCTAACCAGAAGGCTGACTGGTGGTTCAAATCCACCAGCCACTCCTTGGAAGGAAGGTCAGGCAATCCACCTCTGAAACCCAAGGAGGGGTCGCTATGAGTCGGATCCTACTAGACGGCAGTGCATTGCGTTGCTTTTAGTCTTCATGCAAGTGACATAGAATTTAACCTTGGAGAGTTTTAACCTATTCATTATAACCACCGCTAACATTTTAAGTGCCTGCTATGTACTAGCAACTGATCTAAACTCTACTTGATTGAACTTATTTGATCTAGAAGGCGAGTACCACTGTTATTTCATAGATGAGGAAACAGAGACACAAAAAATTTAAGTCATTTGTCCAACATCACAAGGCTAGGATTCAAACCCCAGAAACCACTCTCTTTAGCATTCTAGACAGAGGCATCAGGTGAGGCAAAGGTATTTGCTTTGAAGTACTTGGTGTGTCCAAGGTATGACAAATTATCTGGTGAAACTTGGTCATAGGGCAAATGAAAGGGGGTTATGGGAGTTGTGGCTGGCTGGCAATGTTGGCCAGACCATGAAGGGTCTTGGATGTTGTTAGGCTGAAGGGTTTAGACTTTTTCTTGCAGGTAGTGGCTTTTGAGGACTGAGGTTTCATGGGCCTTAGGAAACTAGGTGGCAGTATGGATGGTGGGTTGGAGGATAGGTGTTATACGAGGCAAGAGCCCAAACAAAGGAGACTATAAAAGCACCAGGGAGCCCATCCCAGGTCCTGTAAGTGGTTTGCGATCTGCTAACCCCAAATTTGGCAGTTTGAACCTACCCGGTGGTGCTGCAGAAGAAAGGCTTGGTGATCTGCTTTCATAAAGATTACAGCCAAGAACACCCTTTGGAGCATTTCTTCTCTATCATATGTGGGGTTGCCATGAGTCAGGGGCCAACTTGACGGCAGCTACCTCCACCATCACCATAGAAACACCACCCATCTGTCAGTTTGCTGTGCCATGGAGGCTTGCGTGTTGCTATGATTCTGGAAGCTATGCCACCAGTATTTCAAATACCAGCAGGGTCACCCATGGTAAGGAGAGCTTCCAGACTAAGACAACATAGGAAGAAAGGCCTAGCGATTTATTTTTGACCATTAGACAGTGCAAGCCCTATGGCTCACCATAGAATATGATCTGACATAGTCTGGAAGATGACCCCCTAGGTTGGAAGTCACTCGTAATGCACGGTGGCTACAGCGATGGATTCAAACATGTCAGTGATCATGAAGGTGACACAGAACAAGGCAATATTTTGTTCTGTTGTACATGGGGTTGCCACAAGCTAGAGCTGACTTAACAGCAATTAACAACAACATAAAACACACCCTTCCTTTGGCCCTTGACTATATCCGTGTCATGTTCCTGTGGCTTCTTGTTTGTTTTTTCTTCTCAGGTGGACTGAAAGCTCTGCAAGGACAGGCTCCTTCTTAGATGTTCTCTGCCCTGTCCTCTTTCTGCACCTCAGCTTCAGCAGAAGCCCAAGTTGGAAAGTTCTCTTCACAAGGCAGAATCCTACATCATGGTCAAGGCCCAACTCAAATGCCATCCGCCTGCTGCACAGAGTCTCCCTGGTGGCATATTTGCCGGTAGATGATGATTGCAGCCAGGCCTCCACTCAGTGTTCACTGTTGGCACGGCCTGTTGGCCCTGTAGCTCTGGCCTGTGTCTGTTCCAGCGGGCGCCCCATCCCGCCTGCTGTCAGAGCCCATGCGTGCCTTCCTCCACCTTACTCTCCTGCATCTCTGAAGGATCGGGAAGCCGGCAGTAGGCCCACAGCAACAGGATTGCCCTGACCTTTTCTCGCAGCTCTGACATCTAGACAGGCCAAGGGTTTAGAAGTGAGATATTCTTGACAGAGATATTTGATTGCATGACTCATGAAACATTAAGCAAATCTTGTTTTTTCATTAAAAAGCAATTAGTCACAACTTTGAGTTAATGGCCGGATAATAGTTCAGTAGTCAGAAGACAGGATTCTTAATGCTGAAGCAAGGA